GGGTCAGGAGGAGGGGAAACTACAGTTAGTATAATAGATGAATGAAAAAATGTTTAGAAAAGCTGGATAGAGATGGAGGTTTCTGAAACTCTACTGCAGAAAAAACGCATTTTAGTAAAAGCACAAAATAAATGATATCATTTTTCGCTGGGCAGTGGTGACACATGCCTTTAATCCTAGCACTGGAAGGCAAAGTTCTGTGAGTTTGAGGCCAGCCTGGTCTACAAAGTGAGTTCTTGGACAGTCAGGGCTACACAAAGAAATCCTGTCTTGGAAAAAACAAACAAACAAAGCAAACAAGCAAAAAAATATTATTTCACTCATATTTCCAGATAGAAATTCCAAGTAAAAAATTCTGTACTCAGAGTTAAATAATTTAATTATTGGGATGTTCTCTCTCTCCTCTCTCTCTGTTTTCTCTCCTCTCTCTCTCTCTCTCTCTCTCTCTCTCTCTCTCTCTCTCTCTCTCTGTCTGTCTGTCTCTCACTCTAGCTCTTCTTCCAGCCTGCCAATGCAAATTGGACTTTTAACCTGCTTCACCTAAATCTAGTTTCTCCAAAATCTGGCCTGCTTAACTATCTCTTGGCAAATCAGTACTAAAGCCTGGTAGAATGGACTCAGCTCTGGGCTGTTTTCTTGCCCATTTCCAGGTATACAAAGATCATTTCAATCAGAAAGGTATGCAGAATGATTTGCCACAGAAATGCCTGTTTCCACTAAAATCAAATGTGCCCTTTGAATGCAGTCTCCCACATTTGAATTGCTTCAGATTCTCACTCTATGGTTTGCGATTTTATTACTGCAAAGCTCTGTAAGCCAAAGGTAGCAGCAATTGTGTTACATTGTGCTAAGTGATGTGGATTTTATTTGTTTGGCGGATGTTGTTGCTGGAGCTACTTTCCACCACAGAACCAATACAAATCTCTCCCTTGTGCCAGTCAGTAGAGATTTATTAACAGCCATAGAAATTAAACTATGGTAGTGTTTTCTTAGAAGTAATGATTGTCTTATCAGAGTTTGGTGACTTATCCAAAGAAACCGAAATATGTTAGTATGGATGGTTAAACCCTAATTCCATAGTGCTTTGGCTGACACTTGCTTGGAACAATATTACAACCATGAGCTAACCGTGCATGCATCAGAGTAACATCAGAACCTTAATACCTGGTAATATTTATGCTCTTACATTGTTGTGATGGACATACAAAATTAGAGAGACTACATTCAAGGATAGCATCCATCAGTAAAAATTCTGCCCAGGCATACCAGGTTTAATTAAAATACCAACATGTGGCAGTCAACACAGTTTGACAGATAAACGTGAATATCATGGCATTGTCATTGTGTTTT